CATGGTGAGCGTGTCAACGCCCATCGCGGACATCTACGAGCAGGAGAAGGATGAGGATGGCTTCCTCTATATGGTCTACGCCTCCCAGGAAACCTTCGGCTTCTGAGCCAGCAGTAGGGGGGCATTGGCCTGGGAGTTGGGGTCTGGGTCTGGCTCTGCCAAGGGAGCCCCTGGCCCCTGAACTGAGCTACATTGGCCCTGGTGGGCTGGGCAGGGATGTGGCCCCCTAGCTAGCAGGCACCTGCCAGTCTACTGTGCCCCTGGGTGGGTCTGGGCCCTTCCCGTTGCGGCTGCTCCTCTCTCTGGGTGCTGGCTGGGATGGCGGTGGGGAGGAGCAACCTCCAGCACCCTTGCTGTGTGGTTTGTCTTTTTTTTTAGGCCTATGCCTGTTTGCCCACCTGCCCCTCACTCACCTGAGACTCTGCCCCTGCCTGGACCTGCCCACCCCTGAAAGACTGGCCCTTGGCTCCCTTGGTCTCCACATGAACATTGTCCCTCTGCAGAATAAAGATTGCTCAGGCCTGCCTGGCCCTTTGCCTTCCACTGTTTACTTGGGAGTGGGGAGGGTGCAGGGGGCTCAGTCACCAGAAGACGTGCTCCGTGGACTCCTGGTTCCTTTTAAACCCACACATCCTTGTAGAGTGCCACCTAGTATTAGGGACCAGCCCACCCCCTGTGAGTGCGATATGGTCCCACAATAAATGTCTTCATAACAAAAAAAAATTATTTTATTAAGAAGCCATAACCTATTAGGCCTTGCTCACCTGCTGCTCACCCCTCCTGCCTGGGAGGGATTCCTTGGTGTGCAGGGCCACAAAGTGGGGGTCCAAGTGGGGTGCTCAAAGGTGCTCCCCACAGGCCTTGCTCCCAGCAAGGGCACCCTTTGGTTCTAGAGATTTGTGACCCTGGATGCAAACCTCTTCTGCCTGAGGACTTGCCTGCTGGCAACTCTGGATGGGAGTCTCGGCCCAGCTTCTGGTCCTTCCCCTTTGAGGTCTGTACAGCCCTTTGCCAGCCAGGTCTATTTGAGCACAAGCATGGCCTCCGTGCCATCCTTAGCAGTCAAGTAGAGGCCATGTGTGAGGTAGTACTCCCGCCGCAGGAAGGCATAGAAGTAGTCAGAGATGAGCAGGATCTGGGGAAGGGGGAAGAGAATAAGAAATTGTACCTCCTTGAACTGGGCCCCCAGTGGGGCTAAGCAGGTGCTCAGTGACAAAAGAGCCCCTGCCCAACATCTCCGTCAGCGTCCCAGGCTACTCCTGCACCAAGAACCAAGGCTCTATCCAGGGCCCTCCCCTCAGAGCCCACCCTTGACCTCCTGGCCTCTCAGCAGTAGCCCGGTTGCTCACCTCCAGGTCTATGCTCCACCCCGAGCTCTGGCCTCTGGACCCAAACTGGGTGTTTGTGTAACCAGTAGCCTGTGTATCTCACCTCTTGGTATCCATAGGTGCTTCCACCCAGTCAAACCTGCTTCTCCCACCACAGACCTGACCCCCCACCTCCCATCCAGTTCAGGACACTACTACTTCTCTTCTGTACCAAGACCCATCAGATCTCTTCCTGTACTCCCAAACCCAAAGCCACCACAAAGCCACTTGTCATCTAAGCCATGGCAAAGCTTTCTCCCTCCTACTCAGCCCAAACTGCCTGAGATCATGGAGGAGCTCTACCTCAGGGAGGAGGGGACAGGGGGACAGGGGCCACCACCGCCACCACTGCTGTTCTATGGACAGTATCTGAACCAAGCACCGCTTAGTACAAATGTGACTTAACAAATAAATTGGAGAAATGAGACAAATATTCCTTTCGGAACAATTCCAAACAATATATGCATGAAGTTCTTGCCCACTCCCCTGCCCCTGGTGGGCTAGGCTTGGGTACTTGCTTCCTGCGTGGCGGCAGGAATAGAGAATCACTCTGGAGTGGAGAAACCTGGCAAACACTGAACAAAGAGCTAAGGGAAAACATTATCTTGAAATTACACAGCTGGCTGGGGGATAGTGGCTCACAACTATACATTTAGGTACTCTGGAGGCAGAGACCTACAGGATCAAGGTTTAAAGCCAGTCTGGGCAGAAAACTCCACAAATCTCCATCTCTAACCAGCAAAATGCCGTATTGGAAGCCTGGCTGTGGCAGCTATCAGCAAGAAAGCTAAGCCAAAAGAGGGGGGAGAGAGAGAGGAGAGGGCGAGAGAAGGGGAAAGAGAGGGAAGAGAAGGGGGGAATTACATAGCTAGCTCACACCCTGACAGAATGTTCTGAGAGGATTCTTTCCAAAAGCTCAACCCCCAGTCTAATGATAAACATCAGACAAATTTAACGGGGGATTGTCCACAAGGTACCTGACCACTGCTCCTTAAAATGACCAAAGTGATGAAAATAAAGTCTGAGGAACAGAGCAGAGGATATGGGGAGACATGACCCTAATACAAGGTGAGCCCCTAGGTTGGGATTCTCTTGGAAGAAGAGAATGGCAAGACTGGAAAAATTTGAAATCTTAACCAAGCCTGGCATTATTATTGGTTAATTTCTCAGGGTAGTTTCTTAGTTTGACAATTCATTCGGTTTAAGATATTAATGGAGGAAAGAGGGTGTGGGACACACAAGACCTCTCTGTACTATCTTTGCAATTTTTCTACCACTCTAAAATGATTCCAAAAGAAGAAAAAGTTCGGGCTGGGAAGTTGGCTCAGTGGTAGAGCGCTTGCCTTGCATGCCTGAGGCCCTGGGTTCGATTCCTCAGCACCACATAAGCAAAAAGAAAAAAGCCG